TATGGAAAACAATATGGAGAATCCTCAAAGAATTAAAAATAGAATTACCATATGATCCAACAACCTCACTTCTGGGTATTATCCAAAAGAATTGAAATCAGGATCTCAAAGAGATGTTGACACTCCTGTGGCCATTGCAGCAGTAGTCACAATAGCCAGAATGGGGAAGCAACCTAAATGTCAGTTGACAGACAAAAAGAAAAAGAAATTGGTATAAGCAAACACTGAAATGCTATTCAGCCTTTAAAAAAGAGGGAATTCAGCCGGGCGCAGTGGCTCAAGCCTGTAATCCCAGCACTTTGGGAGGCCGAGGCGGGTGGATCACGAGGTCAAGAGATCGAGACCATCCTGGTCAACTTGGTGAAACCCCGTCTCTACTAAAAATACAAAAAATTATCTGGGCATGGTGGCGTGTGCCTGTAATCCCAGCTACTCAGGAGGCTGAGGCAGGAGAATTGCCTGAACCCAGGAGGTGGAGGTTGCGGTGAGCTGAGATTGCACCATTGCACTCCAGCCTGGGTAACAAGAACGAAACCCTGTCTCAAAAAAACAAAACAAACAAAAAAAAACAACAGGGAATTCTGCAATATGCAACATGAATAAACCTTGAAGACGTTATGCTAAATGAAATCAGCCAATCACACAAAGACAAATATTGCATGATTCTGCTTACATGAGATATCTAAAATAGTCAAATTCAACCCTGAAGACATCATGCTAAATGAAATAAGCCAGTCACAGAAAGACTGCATAATTCTGCTTATACACAGTATTTAAAATAGGCGAATTCATAGAATCAAAGAGTGGAATGGTGGTTTCCAGAGACTGGAGGAAAAGGGGAAATAGAGAGTTAGTAATCAATGAACACACAGTTTCAGTCAAGCAAGGTGAATAAGACCCAGAGACCTCCTGTACTGCATTGTACGTAGAGTCCACAGTAATTTATTATACACCTAAAGTTTTTTTAAGAGGATACTTCTCATGTTAGATATTCTTACCATGATAAAGTAAAAAAAAAAATAGATTAATGTCATGATCATAGCAAAATGTAGAAAAACAGGATTCTAATACACTGTTGAGGGGGGGAATAAGTGTACAACCTCTTTACAAAACAGTTCAGCAGTATCTATTGGAATTACAAATGCACCTATTGACCAGTAATTTCCACCTCTAGGAATTTATCCTATAGACGTGCTTACATAGAGAGAAGTATAGGGGTACCCTGCAGAAACCCTTGGGGTATTAGGCCAGGAACCATCTCTACTGTTCTGTGCCCACTTCAGCCTGTGGATCTCCCCTCAATATTATCAGTCCATTCCTCTATGCCTTTCAGGGGACCATTTCCTACGGGCATTAAGCTAATAAAATTCTCACTGATCTGGCTGTAGATGGTCATGGGGCAAAGGTGCAGTAAGTAGAAAGGAGAAAATCACCATCATGGGAACTTGAAGAGTGAATAATTTGGGAATTCGAGGAAATATTAAATTCTGGATGAGTCATTGTAGAACTATTTATTTGGCCCACTTCATGAATTATGCACAGTAAACTGGAGAAATACTGACAAGCCTGTTTCATTTTCCTCATTGAAAATACAGCAGTATTGTGGCCAGGCACAGTGGCTCACACCTGTAATCCCAGCAATCTGGGAGGCTGAGGTGGGTGGATCACCTGTGAGGAGTTCGAGGCAAGCCCAGCCAGCATGTAGCAGTAGTAGCAGCAGCGAAACCCCAGCCCTACTAAAATACAATAATTAGCCGGGGTGGTGGCACATGTCTGTAGTCCCAGACATGGGAGGTTGAGGCAGGAGAATTGCTGGAACTCAAGAGGTGGAGGCTACAGTGAGCCAAGATCGCATTGCTGCACTCCAGCCTGGATGACAGAGAAAGACTCCATTTCAGAAAAAAAAAAAAAAAAAAAAAAATCCAACAGTATTGAATACTGTGATTTTGAAAGGTTCTGTAAATCAAATCTATTCCTGAGAGTTTGTACTTCTCAGCTCAAGAGATGCCTTCAAGGGGAAGCTTTCTCCAGCTTCGCAGAGCATTCAATCAGTTCCCTTTCTCCACTCACATTGACTGTTAGCTTACCTTGAATGTAACCCACTTCATTCTGTTGTTATTATTCTTGGAAGCCCCTTAGAAGCAGAAATTTTGTCTTACTGCTTTTGTCTTATTCATCTCTAACTCCCAGTACAGCACTTAACATAACAAAGCACTCAGTTGATAAAAATAGAAGTGACTAAATGAGCTCAGCTCTGGAGCAAATCATACTCAGCATTATCCTTCACGGTATCTGGTGCATGGTAATACCCGGTAACTATGTGCTGAAGGAATGCCTGCGTGCTGCGTGCACAGACATAGCATAAAGCCAAACCAGGGCATGCTGCACCAACGATACAAAATCCCTGACTTCCAAACTCTGTGCTGCCAAGTCAAGTCAGAATTAAGGCAAGACTTGTTTTCATTTAAAAATATATTTATTTATTATTGTACTTTAGGTTCTGGGGTACATGTGCAGATCATGCAGGATTGTTGTATAGGTACATACATGGCAAGCTGGTTTGCAGCCTCCATCTGCCCATTACCTATATCTGGTGTTTCTCCCCACATTATCCCTCCCCACCCTCCCCACTTCCCACCCCCTGCTGTCCCTCCTCTAGTACCCCCATGTGTTGCTCCCCTCCCTGTGTCCATGTGTTCTCATTGTTCAACACCCACCTATGAGTGAGAACATGCAGTGTTTGATTTTCTGTTCTTGTGTGAGTTTGCTGAGAATGATGGTTTCCAGATTCATCCATGTCCCTGCAAAGGACACGAACTCATCTTTTTTTATGGCTGCATAGTATTCCATGGTGTACATGTGCCACATGTTCTTTATGCAGTCTATCGTTGATGGGCATTTGGGTTGGTTCCAAGTCTTTGCTATGGTAAACAGTGCCGCAATGAACATACATGTGCATGTGTCTTTATAATAAAACGATTTACAATCCTTTGGGTATATAGCCAGTAATGAGATTGCTTGAAAAGTCCTACAGAACATTCAGAGGTAGATCACATTTAACTTTGCATTTTAACCCATGTCCTTTTATGAAAAGAAGAGAATTATATAAATTGGCTGTCTGGTCGCCTTAAAGCCCACAACTGCTTCATTCCACCACTCGCGCAGGCAATCTCTGGCAAGAGAAGAGCCAGCTCATTTGGTTTTACATCACTGGGAAGGGCTCTTCTCTGGTAATGACATACTCTGCCTTCAAGAGTTGATATTTAACCCCTCTCAGACACTGATAATGACACTTTAAATGGTCAACACAGACAAAGCACTTCGCAACAGTTTGGGTAGCAATGAGCTCAGGGTAGGGTAGCTGGTTCCGGGAACTGACTTTCATAGCTGTCCTTCTGTAAGTCTTGTGCTAAATAAACGCAGGTCTGTCTCCTTTCCAAATCACACTGTGTCAGTGACCCTGTGTGTGAGAGACAGGGGCATCCAAGGCTTACATTGCAGGATCTCCCTTTAAAAGGCAGCTCGGAGCCACTCGAAGGAACACAGATGAAACACTCAGGTGATGTGACACAGCAAGAGTTGATCTGCAGCCAGAGCAATCTAGGTCCAAGTCCTGGCTCAAACACTTCCTAATTGTGTATCTTCAGTCAAGTGATTTAACCTCTGTGAGCTTCATCTTTTAGAAGCAGTTATGATGTCTGCCCTATAAGAGCTGTAGTGTGGCTCTCTGTTCTCAGAGGGAAGAGACTGCCTTTAACACCAGGCAAGAGAAACCACTGTTGTATAAAACTCCATTTGAAAACCATAAGTTACTTTCAAATGTTTATTTTAACAATCAAAGAAAAGGAAAGCAAAAGCAGGCTCCAGGTGATGTATGTGCTGCTGTTGGTAGTAAGGCAGGAAATCTACCAGGTACCGTCAGGAGACTGGGGCTGGCCTGAAGCAGGAGACTCTTTCCTAAGAAGCAGTATCTCCAAGGGGCGACATCAACACAACAGGTCCCGTGTTCATTTGCTTCTCTTCTCAGAAAACGTCACCTGTGTAGAGGGAACCTTCTAGCTCAGATCATGAAGAATAAGAAAAAAAAAAAGCAAGCCAGTTTCCTGAAAGATTTCTGTTCTTGCCTCATAACATAGCCTAACCTAGTCAATCAGCTTCAGAGAAAATGGCTTGGTAGCATGAGAGAGTCTTCCAGAAGGACACACCTTTACCACCAGGCCCACATTTAGCATTTAGCACCACAAGCTGGAGCCCCCCACATGCAACCAGACAGTTCCTTCTCTAGGAAAAGGAGGCTGGCTTGAACCATGCCTTTACCCTCACGTCGATGGTCCACATCTCATCCATTTCTCTTTGTTGCATTTTCTCCAATGAAGCTACAAGTCGTGATGAGGAGGGAGACCAAACTCAGAGCTTTTTCCAGTGAAAAATAGCTGGTAATCGCATTCAGAAATTAGGAGCACAAATGGGCCTAGTCTGCATTCACCCAAGTCTCCAAATTTAAGTTCTGCAGAGATCATAATGGCCCTTGAAATGACCGAGTGCCTCACAAGACTTAGAAGATTCTGCCCCTTCAAGCAAAGTTTTCTCATTCTTTGGCCTAATGCAAATACTCAAATATAGTTTGCTCTGGGAAGTAAGTTATTACGTGCACCATTTGTTTCTGATTGAATTTAGATGTTAGAGGAAATTTATTTACCTGCCTATAAGAAGAAGCCTGAGGTCATGGGTGGCCCTTAAATCTGGCCATGTGGGTCAGCCCCTGCACTCCTTAAACATTATACAATCAATATTGGCTCTGGGTGAGGATTTTTGGTGTGCTCTCTCCTTTTCAGGGTATTTTTATTTCTGTTATCTTAGAATTCATCACAGACCTGGGATATAAGTATGAACAATAACATTATCTCTGTTTCGTAGCAGAAAAAAATGCTGAGGCTTAGGCGTGTGAAGCGATGATTCGAAAACCCCGTAAGTGAGAGATAAAGTCAGGACTAGAAACATTCGTTCTTACAACAGATATTTATTAAGCATCCATTATGTACCAAGCAGTGGGCGAGGCTCTGGAGATGCAGTGTGAACAATTGCTAATCTTGAGTAAGCATTTTGATTGGGAAAACAGTAGATACAGAGGCAAGTTCAGCTGTTGGAGGTGCTAAATGAGCAGGACAGTGTCGGGTGTTGTGAGTCCTTTACACTGAGAGTCAAGCAGGAGCTCTCAGAAGAAGGAAACTTGCAACTGACCTGAACATTTATAGTGAGGGGGAAGAGCACCCCAGAGAGAAGATGAGCAGGGACAGGTCTCCAGCCATGTCCAAGGAACAGAAAGGCCAGCGTGGCTGAATCATGGTAAGAAAGATAGAGAGTAGGAAGAGAAGAGGTGGAAGCACATCAAACCTAGCAGTTCTCCACCTGTTAAATCAACAGGTTTCAGTACTTCAGGAGGAAATACTAGGAAAAAAAATGAAGTTGTTGTTTGTATTTTAAACTAGGAGAATTAGATAGGGACAGGGGTTATAGCCAGACAAGTCTTGAGAGTCGGAATTTATAGAGAAAAAAAAGAGACATTTCTTATGAAAGTTCCTTTCACATAGCAAGAAGCTATGTAAGCCATATGTAAGAGGCTGTTTTGCCACAGAAAAGGAAAGTCTAGTCCTTTGTCAAAGCTAGAAACCCTGACGTAGAGAGAACTCAGGATTTGATACCAGGAAATGTTCTACTTAATCAGCGTCCAAGGTAGGGAGGCAGAAGGATAGAAGGGAATTAGAAAAGAAAGGGTCAGGTACAATTCCGGTTCTATTTCCCGCTCCCTGATGCCATAATCCAGGTTGGCAATGTTAAAAACAACCCAAGAAACATGGCGAATCTCAGACAGGGAAGCCTGTTCTTCACTTCCTTTGTCACAAACTATAAAGATTTTTCAAGTTAAAGTTGGTGTCCTTGAAGTGCAAGTGCAATTTTAAATGATGCTGTACTCCCACTCCAGACACTTTTTCAACCTTACATCTCTCCAATCCAGATATTCGGAGCCACCATGGGCGGTTGGAATCCATCCACTGAGGGCATAGAACTCATCTGGGAAAACCAGAGCTGGAAAGGAGGGATTTCACATCAAGATTCCACTGTCCCTGGTGTCTCATAGCCTTTGGACAGGCCTATACATACAGAAAGTTAGAAGCCAGATTTTCTAAAGGTATAACAAGCATCTCTCTCTGGGTATCCCTTGCCTGAGCCAGCCCCCACGGGTCCACAGGCATTCAGAATCGGCTTCCGGTGCTAGCTCCACAGGTGGTGCTGGGGCCACAGCTTGGACAAGGAGCACATGCGGCAGCCACACAGGAGGGAGGCGTGGAGCACGGATTACAGGGGAGTCTGCAGAGAGAAAACGTGAGTGAAGTGAGAAGCAAGGAATGAATGGGGTCTCAGTGCCACGTGGGGGCATGAGGAAGGGGTCCCCACTGCAAAACCAGAGGACATGGACCCTGCTGAAGCCTGTGACCATTAGCACCGAGTGAGCACCTCCAGGGTTAGACTACATAGGTGATTTCTAAAAGGTCTTACATGATTAAAGGGATCCTATAGAATAAAAATTCCTAGGAAGAATTTAAGAAGAGAAAAGCACGTCCAGAAATTGGATCTACTGCCGGATCAGTAGTCATGTCTCCTGTTTGAGCAGCGACCCCGTGTCTACTCTCATCAGATCATGGCTACCTCAAGCAGCCCCCACGGAGACCTGGTCATGTCCTCTAAGCGGATGGTCATTCCCTTCACTCTGTCGACCATATAGAGGGTGCAGGACCAGGCAATGACTCACGGAAAAGGAGTGCAGAGAGAGCCTCGTTCAATGGAGAGACAGCCCCTCTGCTGCCCTGAGGACCTCATGAGAACTGGGTCAATGATTTGGCCAGGAATTGCCCAGATCACACGTACTTGCAGTCCTCACTCTCCAGAAGGTTCCGGTACGTGGCAATCTCATTCTCCAGCCGGGCCTTCACGTCCAGCAGCACCTGATACTCCTGGTTCTGCCGCTCCAGGTCAGCTCGGATCTCAGACAGCTGCTCCTCCACGTTGCTAATGAGGCTCTGCATCTGGGCCAGCTCCGTGCCGTAGCGGTCCTCGGCTTCACACAGGGAGTTCTGCAGACAGTCCTTCTGTAGTGGGAAATAAGGGGATAAAATACCCAAGACCCCCAGAGAAACTGCTACATGCCCCAGATTTTGATGGTGGTAACAGTAGCTAAACATGCTGCATTGCCAAAATTCACCTAGCCCAGGGCAAATTCCAGGAACTCATACCCCAGAGCCCTTGATAAATCAAGTTGACAGTGAACAAGTCTTTTCCCAAACCAGCACTGCCCCCAAAATTTAATTGGCTTCACGTTATTCATCTCTATATTTGCAATACCCCCAAAAAAATTAGAACTCAGTAAATTTTGGTGCATTTAATGCCTTTTCTTAAATATGTTTTAAAAGAGAGATTGTTTTGTTAAGCTGTGTTTCTGAATTTGACCTGATCTTTACAATAAAGACAAAAAAGAAATTCACAATCAACGAGTTTGCAGATGGGAGAAACCTAGATAGTGAGACCTACAAAATTAAATGCTATCAGGCCGTGGCACGTGGCGTTTGCAGTGCAGTGAGGGTGAAGGACACGTACCAAGGTGTGCTGGGCTTGGCGCTCCACCTCCAGGGCGTTCACCGTGCATCTCAGCTCCAGGATCTCCGACTGGCAGCACTGAATCTCCTCAGAGCAGGACATGGCCTGCAGGCTGATGCCTTCAGACTGGAGCACAGAGAGGCACAGTCACCTCCCTGCCCAGATGGAGGCCAGATGTCCCCCGGCTCTGTACCCCCTGCTCACCTGGGCTTGGAACCACTGCTCCGCGTCCTGGCGGTTGGTCTCCACCATGGCCTCGTACTGAGCCCGCATCTCCCCCAGCACCCTGCTCAGGTCAATGGTGGGCTCAATGTCCAGCTCGATCCGGATCTTGTCCCCTAGCTGACTCCTCAGAGTCTTTACTTCCTGCAGAAGGGAGGAAGGCACAGACAGTTTGTGTGAGGAGAGGGCCTTTGATGGAGCAGACAGCACCAGGACCCCACCCCTGGCAAGCAGTAGGAGGGGAGCCCCATACACAAGCAAATGGGAAAGTCTTGCCCAGAGTGCAGTCGGGAGAGCCCACCTGGATGCCTTCCTTGTGCCCAAGGCAAGTCTGCACCTTCCACAGAGGCCCTCTGAACCCTCAGACCCACCTCAGCCCTGCATGCTGATGCCAGCTGAGCCCAGGTTCTGCTCTGAGAGCCCCAGGGCCAGGGAGCTCCCCTATCTGCCCAGCACTGCCCGCCCCCCACACCAGGAGTCTGAGCGGCCAGGGCTGTACCTGCTCATGGTTGCTCTTGAGAGAGAGCTGCTCTTCCTTCAGGGACTCCTGCTGGGCCTCCAGGTCGGCCTTGGCCAGGGTCGCATCATCCAGGAGCTTCTGCGTACCACACATGTCCGCCTCCACCAGCTGACGCAGGGAGCGCTCACTCTCCAGCCTTCAGTCACAGGAGGTGCAGGGTCAACAAGAATTCCACCAAGAGCCCCTCTCGGCTGCCCCGGGTTCCCACCTCCCACACCACCTTGGATCCTCATTTGTTCACTCTGTTTAGCTCTCTGGCCTCAAAGGTGAATTAGACACAGCCCCTCTTCTCAAAGAGCTGGTGGTCTGATGAAACAATCACAGCACTACATTGCACAATATACATTTTTGCCATTGTATTCTGTGGCAGCTGCGGTTCACTAAGATCAACTGAGTTGCCTAAGATCGTGTGTCTTGGGACCCAGTCCAATGCTCATTCCATTGCAGTGGCCGTCAGTTACCAAAGATAAGCAATAGCCAGGTGCCCGGTTGTGATCCACAGCTCCTTATCCCTTGCTTTCAACTGTCTTCCCCTCTGGTTTTTTCCTAAGTATCTCATACCTAGTACCCTAGGACTGCATAGTTAAATCTGGACGAAGACTCATCTATGACTCCTCTGACTTATATATGAAAATGAATGGCTGTCTTGCTCAGTTTATCCTTGAAATCACCTCATTTTGCTCCTGGCTAATGAATTTAGGCTGCCTCCATGTTAGGGAAATAAATGAAGGAGGAAAAACATACATGGTTGGATTAATGAAGGGTTTTCCCTTCCATCTTCTATCCATTTTGATTGTAATGAAACTTTTACTGGGGAGAATCTAGCAAGGGAGAAAGGACAATGATTCACTCACTCAACAAGTATTTGGGCATTGGGATGGAGGATGGGGAAGGAGTCATCCTGGCCTCCTGCACCGGACTTACTTGATCCTAAAGTCATCGGCAGCCAGCTTGGCATTGTCGATTTGTACAATCAGCCTGGCGTTCTCAGCCTTGCTGCACAGGATCTGAGGAAAACAGGAAGATGGTTCACACACAAAGCATCGTACCTTAGGCTCCCACTCCACGTGTGGTGTCTATGCTCATATCCAAGAGAAGCCAAGAACCCAAAGCTCCCTGAGCCTGACATGGATTCCTCCTGCCATGAGAAGCCGTCTGGCTTCTCAGACCCAGCACGCCCAGGCGTTCCCACACCTCACCTTCTGCTGGAGCTCCTCGATGGTGCGGAAGTAGGACTGGTAGTCGGGGCACACGGTGGACTCGTGGCACTTGCTCCTCTCACGGAGTTGGCTCTCTAGCTCCGCGTTGTCCCGCTCCAGCTGTCGCACCTTCTCCAGGTAGTTGGCCAGGCGGTCATTCAGGAACTGCATGGTCTCCTTCTCATGGCCATTCAGGGTGTTTTCACCATAGGCCCCACAGATTCCGATGTTGCCGGGAATGTGGCAGGTCCCTGGCAAGGGACAAGCAGTGTGGCAGGTGGGGGGTAGACAGAGACTGGGGCGGCCCAGGGGAGTCGACCCCACACGGACTCGGTTGGCATGTGCCACATTGGCCAAGAGGCACATGGAGGCAGCCTTGGCCTCTGCCCCGGGCTGGCACCCAATGTCGATGGGAGAGACGGAGGCATTTCTTGCTCCAGGACCCATGGTGCAGCCCAGAAGGCAGGAGGAGCTGCTGTAGGAGGAGGTCATGGTGTTGGGCTGAGGTTGCACAGGAGCTTCAGATCAGCTGGAAAGGCCAAGTCACTAAGTCTGAAGCCTCTTCTCCTCCCGGCCCTTTTATACCCCATCCCGGGTGGGTGTTGGCTCCAATGCTTTGACCTCCTGCCTTGATTATCTGTTGTGGTGCCATCATCCTGTTACTCAGCTGCTGAGTTTACCATGAAACGTTTCTCAGCTCATTAAAGGAATGTTGACGAATCTGAGATGCCTCTTGGCTCTTTGATATCAGGTTGGCTTTTGGTGGGGGGAGTCAGAAGCTTTGTATTATTTTTTAAAGAAACCAAGTTATTTTAGCCATCAGATGCTTAGACTTTGACAGGGTTTGGCCTCTTCATGGATTTGTCCACTCCAAAGGCACAAATTTTCCTGTTGGTCAGTGGCGTAGCAGGACTAACCCCTGTGATGACAGTGGTGCTCACTTGGGTTAAGACTCAACCAGCCTTCCCTATCCAGGGAAGAAACTGAGTCTTGGTATTGGTGAATGTTATGGTGTTAAATTGGGTTATCAAGACATCCTACATTTCTTCTTTCTTTAGTTGGTTGCCCTTCAGACTCACTTTGAGGAGCAACAAGACTTAGACAAATCTGTTCACAACACACATCCCCTGGTTACATCCTGAATGCCAGGCACTGTGCTGATGCTTGGCATATAGTTGGTTAAGCACGGAACAGTTCCTGCCGTTGGGAAACAACTGTAACTTGTGTAGACATGATGTCTCAAACAAGGCATCTGAGAAGCTCGTGAGAATGAGGATGACTCCGAAAACTGTCATTTATCTTGACCAAACAGGGCAAGCTCAAGAAGCCAGAAACAAACAAAAAGAAATGAGCAGTAATCTTACTGAACCTCAAATAAGGACGTGGCCATGAAAGTAGGAGGAAGTTGCGTGATCGGGATGTTGAGTGGGCCCTCTTCACGCCTTGCCTCCTTGGTTCTAAAGTTAGTTATGAACCTTCACCCTATGTGCTAGGGGATTGAGCAATGACACCTTTTCATCTCTGCTTCCAACCTGGGAGGTGGGTACTCTTAATTTTACAACATAAATAAATAAGCCATTGAGACCAGAGATGTAAAGTCGTTTTTCTAAGATCAACCTCACTATAAAGTATGAAGCCCTGGGGTATATGTGCAGATCGTGCAGGTTTGTTATGTAGGTATACACGCCCCATGGTGGCAGTTTGCTGCATCCATCACCCTGTCATCTCCTAATGCTATCCCTCCTCAATCCCCCCACCCCCTGCTATTCCTCCCCTAGCCCTCCACCCTCCCAGGCCCCAGTGGGTGATGCTCCCCTCCCCCGTGTCCATGTGTTCTCATTGTTCAACACCCACTTGTGAGTGAGAACATGTGGTGTTTGGTTTTCTGTTCCTATGTCAGTTTGCTGAGAATGAACTTAAAGTATAATAAATAAATTTTTTAAAAATACAAGAGATAGAAATGCAGGAAATGAGGCACAAAAAAACTACAAGGCATATTGTAAATAAACAGCAAAATGACAGAAAAAATAATTTAAAATAAAATAAAAACAAACTACATTTTAATTAAAAGGTTCACCTAAAAAAAAAAAAAGTGTAAAGCCTATTCTCCACATCAGCTTCTTTCAACTCCAGAAACTCTTTCTTCACCTTGACCACCACCAAGTCCTCCACCCCCAAGGAGAACTACTGTGTCATTGGCAGAACTAAGAAAGATTAAAAGGTCTAGAAATTGGGCAAGAAGTTGAAATTAAGATGTAAAACAAAAATCTGACCTTGTGTATGTTTCCCTTTGTATCTCAGAAAATACAGATGTGGGGGTGTTAGTACAATAAGGCAGTTTCTCCGGGGGCTAAATTGGGAGATGCCAGGGACCCTGTCTCTACAATGATCATATTACACATTCTACATTCAGATACCAGGGATCCAAGATACATGACTGCTGAGAGCCCAAAAGTTTTCTCCCAAAACCTGTGACAATAGATACATAGACCCCTGAGACTGAGAAAAACCTAATGTGGAACAAAACCTCCAAAGTGATTATAACTAGATGTTTGGGAAAATGAGATTTTTTGCCAGTCCCCGGAGTGTTGAACAAAAACTGAACACATTCCTCTATAGGGACTGGATATGCATATGTGAAACACAGACTATTGGAGTTCTATCAAGGAGAAATACAAAATTTGAGCATTCAGTCCAGATTGGGTTTCTCAGGAAAGCAAGTAGTGGTTAGCTCTTCCCTAAGGGTTAGTCAGAGCTCACCAATGAATAACCCTTTACAGACACCATTGTTAGGAGACATTGCCAGGGCAGGCTGTCCCATCCTCCAGAGGCCCCTGGGTGCAATCTGCATATGTTACATCTTCAAACACCTTTTGGTTACTCTCCTCCACCTCATCACATACCAACAAGCTTCTCTATAAATCAGAACCAGACTTTTAAAGTTGCTTCCTTTGATTTGCTAAGTAGCACCCATCTTTTGACTTTATCCTCTGTCCAGATTCATTCCATGGGCTAACAGCCATGATTTCGTTCATTCACAATACATGACGCTTGTTAGTTACTTTATAACATCACTGCTGAAGCCTTGTGTGTTCAGATGACACCCCTCTCTGCTAACTGGCTTGGGTCCTGGCTTGGGCTTCAACTGAGTGTGCCGTTTTGCATAATGACACTGATGTTGTATGACTCTTTGTAAAGTCGCTTGGTTCCGCTGATTTGTATTTTTCTCAAAGGAGGTGAAGGAGTGGGTGGGGACTTCCTCCCCAACCCTTTAAAAAGAGTCCCTGTGGTCCCTGGTGTCCGAATATGAGGCCAGATTCAGTAACAAGAAGTGATAAACACGGAGTGTGAGAGATGGGAGCCTGTCAACCTCCTTCATTCACCTGCATGCACAACATTCTCTGTGTGGACTCTGACTTTAGACATACCAATCTCTAGAGGCATGAAGTCTACTGCAAAGGGAGGTGAGGAGCTGTGGTCTTGGAATGCCATTTTCACTAATTTTGATACATATGGGCGTATCTCAACCAGTGGGAGAGAAAGGTGTGGAGCTGCAGACTAGCACCTGGAGATTGTGCCTAACTCACAGCTTATCTTTCCTGTGACATGTCTCCGACTGCTAGAATATGCAGGGAAGCATCTAGCAAATTTTGCCCTGTGTGGGAACATCACCCATCACACATAGCAGTGAATGCAAAGATTTTATGACAAGTGCTGTGTGTAGAGCTAGTGCTGACACATCTCCAGGGTGTTAGGTCATGGTGTCCCAAACAATCGTAGATCAGGAAACCATGGAGACTCTTGAGAGAAGAGGCTGAGCATATACATTTATTATTCTAGGGATCCAACTCCTGGGGCTTTGATGAATGGAAAAGGCACACTTCTGTTCAAATTAAATATTATTTTATCTATACATGAATGTATGCTCATTTGTGATTAAGAAATACAAACTAAAGAGATACTGTTTTCTTATCAGGTTCTGATAAGTTGGATAATAGCACAGAGTGTTGGCATGAGCATGGAAAACAAGTCCTATCCTATCCTGTGGATGAGGGGGTAAACTAGCACATTCATGAGCTTCCATCTCTGCACACAGGCACAGAAACCGGGACCCATGTATTGGGACCTGTGAGCCTCAGACTTGCAATTGACCCACTGGGAGAGTAGCTCAGGAGGCTCACTCTGCTCTGGCAAGCAATAGTGAGGGGAAAAGACTTCAGAAGATGAATTGGGAAAGTTGGAAAATCTTCAAGAATTGGCACTCTAAGAAGGGAAGAAAATAGACAATTCTGTTTCAGCCAGAGTAAAAACAGATCTTTGGCATAGGTCAAAGATCCTCATAGTGGAAAATATTGAAAACACTGCTTTCTGATGCTCATTACAAACCATGACTATGAAATATCCTGAGTCTGAGACGGCTCAGTGGCCATGCTCTGTCACAGACAGAATGATGGGCTCAGTCATGCTCTTGTTAGAGACAGACTGTTTGTTCCTAGGTACTGCAAGGAAAAATTCGCATTCAGACAAAAAGTTCTCTCAGCAAGACAATTTTACTTTTTGCAGAAAGGGTACTGTTCGTCAGTCATCTTGCCACAAGAGTGCACTGAACAAAGGAAAGGCAGGCATTTATTCCTTATGCTGTGTCCAGTCTCTGTTGGTTGGAGTCAAACCTCACAATCTAAACTGAACCTGACTGGCTAACAATTTAAAACTTTTCTAAATAGGTAAAGGCAATGGAGAACAAAGGGAAAGAGGAAATCTAAATAATGAAGGGAGAGGAAGTTGCTTGTGAAATGACTTAGAAAAGTAATAACATAAATACCTTGGTTAAAGTACAAGGACATAGAATGTATCTCTTACATCTAACAGCTACATAGGATAGGGTTTAACAAAGTTACTAGCAAAAAGCAAGAGGGCTTTGAAGAAAGTCTTTAAAAGAAACTATTATTTCTTTTCTTTTCTTTTCTTTTCTTTTTTAATTAAACACTTTACTGACAGAATTAATGAATGAAGGCCCAAGAGACTTCCGGGTGGTGGAAACGAGGGGTGGTTTGGGGGCTGGGGGATTTGGGGCTGGGTGGGTGGACAAGTGGACCTGCCAGGTCCCAGAAGTCGGGCGTCGTCAGCAGCTAGTCCCGGCCAGGAACCACTTGAAAGATGGTTGTTGTGTCAAAGAGGGTGCTCAGCAGCGTGTTGTTGTGAACCGCCATGTCCAGCAGCTGTGGAGTGATGGTCCTCTCTCAGCTGTTATGGGCCTCCTTGCCCGCCAGCTCCAGGATCTGGGCTGTCAGGTACTCAATCACGGCAGCTAGGAAGACTGGCGCAGAGGGACTCAGGCATTGGGCGTAGTGGCCTTCCTGTAGACTATGCTCCACCTCGCTCACAGAAAACAAAACCCCCACTCAGGTGGTGCAAGAGCGGGTATGCCCCCGGCCGCCAGCACCAGAGGACCCTCCACAGCTCCTCCTCCCCAACATGCTGGGTGTTGGGTGCGCTATCTCGGCTCGGCATGCTCTAGCACGACAAGATGCCTCTCAAGATGACCGTTATAGTATCCAGTACCGTGTATCCTAGCAACCAGGGCCCAGACCCTCATTGGCTGGGGAACCCAGTCCCATGGGCATGCCTCGTGCCACCACATCACCACATGGTGACGGCCTCACTCTCACGTGGCCACGGCCTCACCAGGGACGCCCATCAGGTGACCTCATCGCCTTCCCATTGGCCCTGAGGGAGCAGGCCTGGGCCTGGAAACGGCTGGAGGGCACGCCCATCAGGTGACCTCATCGCCTTCCCATTGGCCCTGAGGGAGCAGGCCTGGGCCTGGAAACGACTGGAGGGCACGCCCATCAGGTGACCTCATCGCCTTCCCATTGGCCCTGAGGGAGCAGGCCTGGGCCTTGAAGTGGCTGGAGGCCCGTTGCGGTGGATGTGGAGTGGGGCGGGGAGGAGGGATCCCGCTGGTGATCCTCTCTGCACCAGTGGGGGAACTCTCCCTTTCTACTGGATGGGATAAAGACAAAGGGGAGGCCAGGGGGAGGATGCTGGGTACGGCTCCTTCACAATGTTGCAGACCTGTCACAAGCACCTGGTTCCAAAACATTTTCAACCGAAAAGAAGAGAAACCGAAACCCCTGTATCTGTAAGCAGTCACTTTCCACACGCCTCCTTCCACACCTCCGCTACCACCGCCCCCCACGGTCACCCCGCCCCTGCCATCGCCACCGCCACATACACATGTTCCCAATAGTCCCTGGCAACCACTAACCAATCTGCTTTTTGTCCGTAGAGGTTTACCTGTTTTGGAGACTTCCTGTAGATGGAATCATACAACCAAATGGGAGGCCTTGTGTGTCTGGCTGCTTTCAGTTAGCGTAATGTTTTCATCAGGTTTCATCCATGTAGAGGCTTGAATCAGTTCTTCCTTCCTTTGAATGAAGTTCTGCAGGCTTAACAGGAAGCATGACTGTGAGGCCTCAGGAAACTTAAATTCGTAGCAGCAGATGAAGGGGAAGCAAGCATGCCTTAGCCAGCATGTATGTGAAGGAGTTCCTCATCTCCAGCAGTCAAGATGGCCATCACTGGACTCTCTTTTTTGAGAATGGCAAAG